GAGAAGCCTGTACTGTACCTCTCCACTATGTGAAATGGGGCTTTCCTTAGAAAGGTTACCCCCATATGCATGGTTTATTTACACCTACATATGCAAGTATACGTATATATTCACTGCGTTATGCTTGGTCTCCCTGCTTTTATACACACACACTCTTCACATACCCGCTTTTTCACACATGTAGGTACAACCTGTAATATGACAGAATGTGTAATAAGCTGTTAGGGACATGGTGTAACTTAACTACATGTGTTTGCTATTGAGGGAAATGTGTGCTCTATCATTGCCGGGTGTGCTTGGGTGTCCATGCATAATTGATACATATTTAGAAAACAAACACTTTGTTCAAGCAACATGACATTAATCTGGGTGTGGGAACTTTAATTTTTGAATTGAATCTCTTTTGAATGCAACTGTGATAGTGCATTAAATTTCAAATCTTAGTGCTGCATGACGAGTGTGTGCATGTTTAGGTTTACGTATCTTTGCAGCAAGAAGATAAAGAAGGAAAGAGATTGCCTGCAGCCAATAATCATATAATCATAGCATCGTAGAAAATTAGGGTTGGAAGGGACCTCAGGAGGTCATCTAGACCAATGCCAGCTTTAAGACAGTCTCAGCGCAGAGTTCTATGACATGGAGCTGACTATGCCTGAGCCTGGCTTCCTTTAGGGTCTATGCCATTGCTAGTGCTGTTGAAGCTGAGTATGTGAACATAAGTATGACGTTTCTGTATGATAGACATGGACTTGTGTTAACCATCCCTGTGGCAACTCTGGGCCTCTCTCTCTTGCTCCCCAATATGATGTCACAAAAGGCATAGGGCTTCATTTGGCTCTGATAAAAAAGATAATCTTAGATGATGTCGGCTGAGCATGGTCAGAAGGGATTTTTTTCACTCACTGGTGCTTGCTCTTTGTCTTTGTGTTGTCTTCCTCAACCAAACAAAGGGCTTTCTCCTCATTAAGGACTATGGCCCAGATTCCCAAAAGAACCTCCTTTTAAGGCACCTAAGGTATCACTAAGGTATTTCAAGAGTAAGTCAGATGTCAAGTTAGGCATTAGCACCTAAATAAATACCTTTGTTAATCTGACCCAAAGCTCTTCAGTCTTGGAGGTCTCCATGACAAAAAATGGTGGTCAGTCTAGGAAAGTAGGACTGTAGTGGTGTTATTCAGAGAGGAAAGGAAATACATTTCCCTATACACCACTGAACACATCTGATTTCTGTCTGTATGTACAATGCTTACGTGTGCCCCTATCTTTGTGCATGGATGGCAGTTACCAATGCTGCACAAACTCCATTACCCTGTAGGTTCACAGATAAAGCAAAGCAAGCAAGCAGTCAAAGGCCAGGAATCCCAAATCTGAAGGTTACTTTGATACCTTGCAACCTGTGTATTACAACAGTGCCTAGAAGTCTCAAATGCCCAGAGCCTTAAAGGCATTAGGCACCTAACTCCCCTTTGAATTCATTAGGATGGCTGGTTTCAGTGGGAGTGAAGCACTTGAATCACTGGGACTTTGGGGACTGCGGGACACACATGACATTCTTGGAGTAACACTCAGTGATATCATCATTACCAGCAAGCAGCCTTTAGCTCTGGTTTGGGCTTTCATTTGAAACAGGACAAATTCTAATGTGTACAGAGGCTGTTTTATATCGGCCCGCTGGTGCCTGCTGCCCCCGTTCCCCCACTCCCTTGCCCATGCTGAAACCTGCTCCCATGGCAGAAACTTTAGGCACCTGATAGTCAGCCAGTGGCTGCTGGGACACAAGTGACTCTTCAGTGTGTGGCCTGCACAGCCCTTCACAGCTGATACTAATTTTCTTTACTGCTGCCCTTGGCTGTGCCTTTCCTGCAGTGCCAAATAATGCAACTGGCCTAAATAAGGACAGTGCAGATGTTAACTGATGTACTGCATCTTTCCCCCGTTGTGATCTGTTTACCATGAGTGGCCCCGGGGCTGTCTGTAGTGTCCTAACACAGGCTGCTCATGTGGCCCCTGAGCCAGGCAGGCTGGAGGGGCACAGATTTGGGAAAAACCGGAGTCTCAGTCAGCCCTGACAGAGAAGCCAGGGGCAAACCTCCATCTCCTCAGTGTCAGGAGGCTGTGAGGCTGTGTAGGTGCTCAGGAGAGCAGTAGTAGAGCATCCAGCATCGGTGTGGAGGGAGGTGCCCTGAGCTGGGCAGGGTACCCCCAGCAGGGAGTGTGGGAGTGCTGCGGGCACTTCCTGGGCAGGTGGCCTTGTGGGTGCAGGTGCCCGGTCACGGGGCTCAAAGGGGGTGCACTGGGGTGCCAGGGAGGGGGCGGCGGGAGAGAGACATTATTGTTGCACTGTAACGAGTCTGATTAACATGCTCCTTCCACTTGCTCTTAGTTCCCTGGGCTCCTAGCAACAGCAGACAAAGGAGCGGGATTGTCCTGGGCTCCGCAGGGACACGGGGCAGCCTTTGATCTGCCACCATTGCAGGCAGACAGACCGACAGACACGCAGGCAGGGGCCGCAGCACTGCAGCGCCAGTGGCCCCAGCCCATCACCTCCCTGAGGGCACCCAGGCTGGCGGGGGGTGCGGGCAGGGCCCCCCCCGGCCGGCTGTGGGGAGCCGCCAGAGACTGAGCCGGATGCTGCCCACTCCGTCCCACATCAGCCCTGCCACCTTGCCTGAAACATGCTGGGGGGCACCAAAGCCCATCTTGGCATTCAAAAACCTGCCCCTGACAGGGTTTTTTTTTTCCCCGCCTGAATTTCTGAGGGAATTTGAAAGCCACTTTGGGAGGAGGGATGGGGCAGGAGGCAGGGGGTCCCACCCAGGCTGGGGGTGCCTAGGCAGGGGACTGGCTTGCAGAGAAGTTTGCCAATGTCAGGACCGGATTAACCCATTACAGGGCCCTAGGCAAACAAACTTGTGGGCCCATACTTAATACTGTGTATTTATATTACTTTTTTCACTCAGTAATTATAATATGTCAGCCTTGGCCAGGGCTGGATTGGGCAAACCAGGCACATGCCTAGGGCCCTAAGTGAAGTAGGGACTCAGTTGTGCTTATTTTACAGTAAAATAAACACAACTGGGCCTCTTCTTCACTTAGGGCCCTAGGCATGTGCCTAGTTTGCCCAATCCTGCCCTCGCCAAGGTTGATGCCAGCCCAGGCGTTCCCGCCCAGCTCCAAGAGTGAGACACTGGGCTGGGGGGGAGCTTGCCAAGAGGGAAAGCCATGGACTGGGGTGTGGGGGAGGCAGCAAGAGGCTGCCCCATGGGAAGGCGGGATCCCCACCACATCTTCAAATCCAGCGGCAGGGGCCATTTGGGGCAGGCAGTGCCCGCCTCTGTTGGGGCGTGGGTGCAAGGGCTCAGCACAGCCCTCCCCGCGCTGCACCTGCAAGGCTGCCTCAAGGGAAAGCTGCTCGGGCTGGGGTTTTCTTTTGCAAAGGCAAATAAACCGCAAGCTCTGGCAGGCTGCATGTGAGGCTGGCGTGGCAGGTTCAGTAGCAAACCCCCCCATGCAATAATTGCTAGAATTGAAAAGAAAAAAAAATCAAGAAGCGCGTGGCCCAGCATTCAGGCGCTCACCTACTTATTTGGAAGTCATTTATTTTCCATTTCTCCCGGGTTCCCTCCGCAAAGCAGAGGCCGGGAGAAAGCATAAGTGCTTTAACATTTCAGCTGGTAATTACACCCAAGCTCCCACGTGGACACCTGGCAGGGGCTCTGCGCCGGGGCCCGCGCGCGCGGTGAGAAGCCGCCGAGGTGCCGCCCCGCCCGCCGGCTCCCCCCCCCCCCTCGCCCGGC